TTCCTCTGTGGGCTTCGTGACTCTCTCTTTTGTCTCTCCAGCAATAACAGCAGCAGTCACGTACATTAATTCTTTGATTTCAGATAAGTATAGATGGTTATCTTTGATGATATTCGTGAGGGCCTGATTTGCAGCTTGAATATCGTGCCGTATTGCCTTGTTGAGATGAACCTTTTTCAGGCTTCTGCGTTGATCCAGGGGGATTGCCTGAGTTTCAAGCAGCTTAGTAGAGATTCGATCTTCCATATCCACTACTGATTCACCTTCATGGGTATCCGTATGCTGCGGTGTTTGTTCAGCCTCGGGATCTGGGGGTTGTAGTAGGTCTTCCGGTTGTTCAGTGGGGATAAGTGTTGGTTGCAATGCATTATTTTGCGTTTGGACAGCTGCCACTATCTGCTCAAGCTCAGTGTCGATGAGGTTATTGTTCTTAATAATCCACCTCCTGGTATTAGCAAGAGTATTTGAGTTGGTGGCTGGAAAGATGTTTGGATTCCTGCCTCGCCAGATCGTGTATGTACCTTTTACTACACCGCCATCAGTGTTGTTCTCTTGGGCGAAATAATAGGACCACATCACATCCTTGTATTGATCCTTTGTCTACTGGTTTCTTGTTTTTCTGTTGGTTATTTCTGCGTTGGTGGACTGTGCCTGCGGTGTTGGTGCTGCTTCAGTTAGGCCAACTTGAGATTGGACCTCGGTCTGGTTGCTATCTGAAGCTTGGCTGTTTAGGTTTGCCGACTCAATAACCGATTTTTCGACCTCAGCTTGTTCGGCGATTACTGAGGGACGCACTCTTTGTTAACCCACGCGACGAGCGATGCGGTATAACTTTCGTATTGGCTTATTCATCATGGTATGATATTCACTATTTAACCCATATAGTTAGGGCAAACTTTCCTGCACATCAGGGCACATCCATACATCCGTGGGCTATAATTATTATTATTATTATTATTATTAACAGCACTGCCAGCATGGAAGTAATATCTTTTAAAGACTCAGTTCTAGTTAGTTAGTTATCTTTAGCGGTTCAATCAATGTTCAAGCTTTGCTGGATACTATTCAATGGAACATGAGGGGTAACTAATACGTCCTAACACTTGCAAGCAATATTGCTGCAAATCATCTAGGCAAGGTGATGGTATTTTTTACACATCAATAAAGACCAGCCCTGTATGGTAAAAAGGGGGTGTAGACTTCGAACATAAATACGTTTTTCTGGATATGGCGGCGATATTTCACTTCCACAATTACTATAAATTAGCATTCGACTGATAAGATGTAGCCGTGTAGGAACAACTGCTGAGCGTTCTGCATGAGCATGTCAGCGGGTGGCGCGGAGGAGCAGTGCACGATGACGAGCAACAACGCGGCTTACCCTTTGCCTTCTCGTCGCGTGGATAGATGCCGCTGTTAAAGACGTCCATGATGTAAACCCTGTCATCGTGCATGAAGTCCCGCTGATAGCCGTTGCCCTGAAACGCCGCAGTGCACGCTCATCAATGCCTCAGTGGATGGTAAACAATCTTTATCGCTCAACCGTAATCACATACACGTTGTTCAGGATAGTGATGGTAAGAGGCCAATTTGAAGTTTCTTTGTGCTTAAAGATGCCTTCCCACGCACATTTTCAGGGGTAGAAATTAACTTTTGAACAAGGGAGTCACAGGGACTGTCTGCCCTCAAAAAGAGGGAGTCCGCAGCAAAATGAGGAAGCCCGCAGTCTGAAGTTCTAAATTAAAGATATTAACAATAACGTGTGTGCTTATTTTGAACGTTTAATATTAAAATTTAACTAACAAGGAATCTCGGTTTAGGGACATGTGCCTCCACATGTGCCTCAATAATTGATTGCCCTAAAGGCAGGGGTCAAAATTAATCAAAGTAGCCAGCAGGGCTAGTGAAAAGCAAAATCTACTATGAATCTACTATTGGATGAATAAAACTAAATGTCTAAAATTAGGAACAATCCCAAAGGCTTGATCTTAGGGAAACTTTTATTTCAGAAAGCCACGTTCAAACGTGGCAAAGATGTAAACATGGTGCTGGAAAACGTAATTATTGCAAACGAAACAAAAATTTGGGTTTCATTCTAACAAATCAAGTTTAAATTATAACCTTAATCAGCATTGTGCAATGTCATACATGTACTTCAACATATGTGACCAACAGAATCCTCTGGTACTTAATACATGAACACTGGTACATTAACATATTCTTGTTATCTGCCAAATACACACAGTTCAATAATCTCCACAGTTTAAAATGATAGGATGGGAAGCTACCGGGAAGTGTTTTACTTTCGTTCTCCACTCCCAGACGCCCAGCACCCCTACGCAGTTACAAACATGCTCCGCACATGACATCACTTCGTGCCACAGAAACAATTGGGACCGTACATCAATCGACACCGCTGCTGGCCATACATGTACGCACTAGCGGCAAGCGCGGCACACACTGGCTATCTGTAACACGCGCTGGTGTTTACACGTTTGGACATTGCAGGACATTTGCGGTGCATGTCTGCCAAATTTTCTTGGGGCATTTGCTAAAAAAATATGTGCACAGTAATTCTGCGAGACCGTGCTCTGGAACTAACTAGTTAGTACCGCAGAATTTTCAGGGAGTCACACGGACTCCTGCATATGTCAAATCAGGGAGTCCGATAGTAAATCAGGGAGTATTTGACACCCTGCATTTTTGTGACAAACCACTGTAAAAACGCAAGTAAATAGCCTCGTTCACACGAGACCTCGTATTTCTGAAATACCAGATTTGCAAAATACCGTATCTGAGACAAATGCGCGGCCGAGCGTTCACACGCTGATTCGCGGCTCCAGAAATACGGTATTTGCGAGCTGCGAGCTGCTTTAAACAATCAAGCAAACAATGCAAAATAAACAATGCAATGCGCACCAACTGCCGATAAAATACGTAGACTGGTCCGCGCTCGACAGTTCCACTCGCATTACACTGGAACTGTCGAGCTCGGACCAGTCTATAAAATACGCGGCTTCAGAAATCCGGTATTTAGCGTTTACACGAGGAAATGCGCGGTCCAAGAAATCCGGTATTTAGCGTTCACACGAGGAAATGCGCGGTCCAAGAAATCCGGTATTTCTCAAGCACGGCAAATTATTCGGGGTCTGGGAAGCCTCGTATTTACATGAAATACCGGATCTGTTTAGATATCAAATTATTCGGGGTCTGGGAAGCCTCGTATTTACATGAAATACCGGATCTGTTTAGATACCGTATTTCTTGGGCCTCGTATTTTGCCTCGTGTGAACGCTAAATACCGGATTTCTTGCTACGTGGGAACGCGGCTAATAACTCACTACACTTTAATTGAACATTAGCTTTGAAAATAAAACTGTAAAAATATATATATCAAGCCTATATTTGCTCAACGAAAAAACAACTAGAAAAATGCTTTTCGCCGCGGTTCTGTATCATGGCGGCAAGAGTCGACGCAGGTCACGTAACCAGCACAGCCATAGATATCATATGACACAATGTGTTATATGATATTTATGAGCACAGCCTTCATGACCTTCAGAGCTTGGCAAACACCGCATGGCAACAATTAAGAGACGAGTCACCACATCGCTGCAGAGCCGCAAAAGTAAACGCTGTTTGAAACATTCGACCCGACACTTTCACTTTGTAGTCTAAAAGCTTCGAATAAACGTATTCCCCGAGCAATTTTTTTTACCTATCACACATATATAGGCAAGTACAAATGTGCAATGTTAAAATAATTCATTTTTGCCTGATTTTGTTTCCCGCTTGAAATTTCGCGGTAAGGCACCTTTAAGTCCTAGTGCCTAGATTTGTCTGTGTTGGTGTATGAAGTACAGCCAAGATTGTAAAGCTGTGATGGCAGTTTGTTGATTGAAGGTGCTCGAAAATTGTTTCAGTGAGAATTAGTCTATATCTATGCGATTTCTTTACTGGCAATGTTAATTGTACATGCTAGCTAAGTGAATGTTGTATTGAGGAACAGGCTACACCTAAAATGTATGTGTTTAGCGGCATCACTAATAGATGATTTTGGATAACGTCTATGTTGTCAAGTTGGAACATTCTTGGTGGTTATCATTTCAATTAATCAAGTTTGATTCGTCACACATTAAAGACAAAATATCCCATAAAGGTCCCGCCTCCATGTTTTATTGGCGTTTCGAGACAGCCATTGTTTTTTATTTGACCGCGATAGGGGTGTAATAGCTTCGATGAATTAGTGCGCAAATCTTGCCGATGCGTCAGACCTACCTGATGTGCATCGAGGTCGATGATCATTGCCTTCTTGACGCGCTCCACCTTAGCGAATAGGTACTTGACACATAGCGTGATGTCAGCATAGATACAGAATCCACCTCCACTATCGGCCGAGCAATGGTGGAACCCGCCACCTATGTTGATCGCCCAGCCGCGCTCCATCGCTAACTTCCCCGCCTAAAGAATAAATACACACACTGCTACTCTTCTTCTCTACCAAATTAGCATGTGAGACTGCCAAATGCTAATTTGCTTACAGAGGCAATTACTGTACGAGGAACTTGTTTTCAGAAGGAATGTCACAATAATGACGAAAAGTGAGGGCTGCATGCTGCAACGCTACAACTTACCGCGTGTGAATAGCGTCGTCAGAAACAATGACTTTGATAGTTAACACAGTTAAAACACTGGTTATCACAAGTTGTTTTTGAAGTTGGGTTGGATTTTCTACGATTTAGACTTCTCAAAGTGGTTTAGCATAAAGTTTAACATTTCAGAATTGCGTTTATTTTTGGCACTCAGGAATTTATTCCAACGAGACGACCATAGATCTACTCACCAGTATTGTTCCGCCAACCTGGTGCTTTATTGGAGTGAGGACCCTCCACTGAACAAACATGTTTGGTACAAATGCGACAGGTGGCACCTCTGTGATTCTCGCTACATTGTAGCTCAACTAAGGCAGAAGACAAAGACCAAAACAATACTGAGAAGCAAATGACATCTCCGCTTGGCGTCACTGACTTGCAGCTGTTGACAATCATCCCAGATAACATGCTGACGTTAGGCCAACCTTGGCCCAACGGTGATACCCTGCCATCTCTGTTCTTGCGCCGGTCGCGCCGTGAATCGTGCTGTCTCTGTCCTTGAAGTGGTGATTTCCCAGGTTCTGCAGCAGGTACCATCGGCCACCAATGTGATGGTGATGACGTGATTTAGTGTGGTGTTAATTGTCATGAAGAGAACGTAACACAAGACGTAGCTTTGCTAGTTATACGGTGTTTATACTTGATGATACAAATTACAATACAACACTACGAATAACTGTGTTACCTTTAACACTGTATAGCTCTGTTGCCTTTAACACTATATAACCATGTTGCTTCTAGAATTCCAAGTTCTTCTAAGTGCTACACTGTCACTATAACATACTACGTGGACCTCTAGTCTCTAAGCTCGAATGTTCTATCTGCTCTCTCTCTCTAAGTCTACTCTACTCTATTCTACTCTACATCATCTACTTAGGCACGTGCGCACGAGCGTGTGCCCGCGCACACACACCCTATCTCTATCTCTATCTAACTTTTTAACTCTTTATCTAACTGCCCTTTCTCTGCTCTCCCTCGCCTTTTCTATGGTCCAAGTACGTCACACTGGGGCGTTACCCTTTGACCATTGGTCAGTCTGTCAGTCTGTAACTCGCTTTAATCGTGTGATTGGCTAACTACATTTCTAAATTTTAGGACGCTATGGCGCATTGTGGTTTCTGTCAGGTGCTGCCCAAATTCCCCTAATGAGTGATTGCAGAACTATCTGGCCTTTTTTTTTACAAATTTTACCATGGAAAATTCGTGACGTAGTCAATTTAACTAGATGGTTTTATGTTGGCCGCACATAATGCGCGCGTAGCGCAACTATCTATTTGTTACCAACCAACACTCTATATGTTCTCAAATTAAATCTACTCTCTACCTTCTAATAATTTCCTATCTACATTAACACTGTTACAACAGCTGTCTTCAGCCCATGCCAAGGTTGGGCCAACGGATTTTTGCTCAGCGCGCCAACGTTGGCCCAACGTCATGCAGCCAACCACTTGCCAACTAGCATTGTGCCAACCATACGCCAACGTTGGCCCAACGTCATGCAGCCAACCATTTGAAAGTAGCATCATGCCAACCATATGCCAACGTTGTCCCAACGTCATATTGCCAACCCGACCCAACCATGACCATGCCAACGTTGGGTTGGCCCATCATATTGCCAACCGTGACCGTGCCAACCAAATGTCTACGTTGGCCCGACGTAGGCATGTTATCTGGGATCGTTGTGATCTATAGGATGTTCTAAAAGGCTAGACAAAAACATGCTGCAAACACATAATGTGGCATGCACGAGTAAAAATGTAGAAACTTATCTAGCTTGACCAACCTAGCAACAATAACCGCTCGGACTGGTTATCTTGCTTAGACACAGTTAATTGCATAACTGAACACATTAAGCTCTGCTATAGTTTATGCCTATCTCACCCAGTGTCTGTCAGGTGGTAAATTGTTTTTGATGTGTTTGCGTGTTTCGAGGTCCTAGCCCAGCTAAGGGGGTCCGGGGGATTTTTTTGCAAAAATGGTGCATATTGGTGCATTCCAAGCTATTCTGAACACATTGTATGGGACTTTTTAACGCAATAAAGTATAGTTTATTGATGGTAGAACAGTGAATTTGTCAGCGAGGCGGTGTTTTAGACAAACAGCTATGTGGCGGCTGAGAATTTGAGCGAGGTGGTCTGCCTCGCTCGTGTCAATGCAGGGCAAACACTGTCACCTATACAAAGTAAATAGTTTCTGATGCAATTTAACAAAACGAAAGCCAAGAGAAAGTTCTCTCACCGATGGTACACTTGTAGTTGTACGTGCACACTCAGATCGACTATCTTAGTGCAGTATGCAATCGTGTCACTCACCTTTAAACTGTCCAGGTATCTTTGGCTGTGTACAACCATTAAATCGTCTTCTGTGGCCTCGTACGGAACCACTGTAGTATCATCTGTCAGCATTTTGCCGTCTACCGAAAGAAACCCAACCGAGTTTATTCAAACACTGATTTAAATTATAGCTTTGGCACGATGTACATGTACGTTTGTGGAATCAGTCCTATATAGACTCATTTTTCTCTACTGTTCTAGACAAGTTATGCACGATTGATACACGCACCTTTCAGAAACTGGTGAACGCGGCCCCATTTTCCAGAGTCAAAGGGATGGAGCTTCTCCATTTTAAGGAAGCCAATGTTGTAAGCTTTCGAATATATGATGGGCCATTTCTTCACCTCGACGTCAAAGTACAGCTTCGACTTCGAAAGCCTATAATTGGACATTAGCAACTTTAATAGCCATGCAGATATTGGCGAGAGAAACGGCATGTGACCACCATACCAGTGACGCACTGCTAGAACCTCATACTCATAATCATGAAAATGTTCTTTATTCAATCATTTTTCACTTAAGTTCATCAATGACGAACAAGATCACAGGCACTTGGAATGTCTCAATAAAAAAATAATGGTAAATAAACACGAAATGTATTTACTACCAAAGTCTTAATGTTTCTCTACTCTATTTCGCCTATTATTGCCGATAATTACCAGTAAATGCCGGTCAAATGCTCATCTGCAACACACAAGTACACCGCACGCACGCCCTGTGCACAAACAACATGAATAAGAGAGCAGGTAGAAAAGCGTGATCGCAAAATTCGCTCGACGCTTGCTTCATTTCACACCTTGACAGCCCAAATACACCAACAACAGCTTCCATCTTGGTATCTATACATGTAGCTAAATGTTCACTTGTTCGAATTATAACTCGTGTCCTTTGTTCTAGGTTCTTTGTTCGTGACCTACTCCAGTCAGAGATATCTCGTGAAATCCTGCAGGAAATGTTCTCTCCGTGAAAATGAAAACCGGACGTATCATCCGAAAATCCCCAACGGCGCTACTCGATCTTTCGACCAATCACTGTAGTCTACTAGTCGTGTGTGTGTGACGTAATGCCCGCGCGCATTATGCTTGGCTTGGCGGGCCTCGAAACGGAGCTCGGAGGCCGGCAGCAGCTCATCCCGGCATGCAATGCGCCCCCTTACTCGTGTATAAACAGACATCTCGTCCGGTTTACATTTTCACGAAGAGAACATTTCCTGCAGGATTTCACGAGATATCTCTGGCGGGAGTGGTTAAGCATAAAGGACAGTTATAATTCGAACAAGTGAACATTTAGCTACACATAGATACCAAGATGGAAGCTGTTGTACGTTGGTGTATTTGGGCTGTGTAGGTGTGAAACAGTGAAAAAAATACAAGGGGGGTCGGGGCGATTTAGCCCCCGAAATGCCAAAAGGAGCCCCGAAAATTCCAAAAAAGAGCCCCCATAAATTTGCATAGAGTTCAATGCAAACCAAATTTTAGAGCGCTATTTTCATGCACGCGAGCTTGAAAAGTATCCCCCGAAAAATAAATTATATTTTTTCCCCTGGTGTGAAATGAAGCGAGCATCGAACGAATTTTGCGATCACGCTTTCCTACCTGCTCTCTTATTCATATTGTTTGTGCACAGGGCGTGCTAGCTCTAGTACTATATAGCCCGTGTAGTTGCCGCAGGGCTATAGAACATTTTATGCCATGTTTCAACTGCACCTGTCCCCCAAATGCTTCCACGAAAAATGGCTCAAAAAACGCAGAATGATCGGACTTTTTAACACTTATTTATCTACGGATAAAGTGTGTACACAACATTTCAAAACGAAACGCAAGTAGTGCTAGCACTTTGAGGAATAAATGCATAAATACATAGTGTAAAGTTGTGGAGTGTTCAAAAAGATAGGTGAGATGTCCATGTAGATAAATAAGTGTTAAAAAGCCCGATCATTCTGCGTTTTGTTTTATGAGCAATTTTTCGTGAAAGCATTGGGGGACAGGTGCAGTTACGAAACCTGGCATAAAATCTTCTATAGCCCTGGGGCAACTGTACGCGGGCTATAGTACTAGAGCTAAGGGCGTGCGTGCGGTGTACTTGTGTGTTGCAGATGAGCATTTGACCGGCATTTACGGGTAATTATCGGCAATAATAGGTGAAATAGAGTACAGAAACATTAAGACTTTGGTAGTAAATACATTTCGTGTTTATTTACCAATATTTTTTTATTGACAAGTGCCTGTGAACAAGATGATCAGCCCGTAAATCAACAAATTGAACAGTGTCAATGACAACAACGTCAAATACAGTGAAGAAAAATATGTCAAACATAACATTGTAACAATCCAGTATAGGCAATACTACAAGGCAATACCCTTGCTAAGACATGCGGAAAACACACATAAAAACACAAGAGTAAGACTAAAGAATATACCTCGTCTTATCTCTTAGTTTTAGTTTTACTTGAGAGCTTTCAAGAATCGAAAATAATTTGAATTTCATGGGCTAGCTCTAGTATAGCCCGCGTACAGTTGCCGAAGGCAGCGGTTTGCGCAGGCCTGCGGCAACTGTACGCGATACTAGAGCTATAGTATTCATGGGCGTGTCGATGTTTCGGTAGGCCTGTACCGTAGTATTTGGACGCTCGCCCGAAACTGGATGCTCTTAAGTGCGCATGCGTGCAGGTGCCTCTTGTTTTGCAAGGGCGCATGCGCGGCATGCGCAGTAGTCATCTGCGCATCTCGCCCATCGAAAACGGTCGCAATAAACAAACATGGCGGCCAACCCGGTCACTTATGGAAACATTTGATTGAAACAATTTGCAATGTAGTAAGTTAGTAAGACTGTGTTATGTGTGTCAGGTTACAAGGCGAAACAAAAAGAAAACAAAAGAGCATGGCTACTATTTCCTACGGCCCTGCAAAACAAGATTCAAACAAATAGAAAACAAGAGAAAAACAAAAAAGCATGCGCGCATGCGCACTTAGGAGCGTCCAGTTTCGGGCGAGCGTCCAAATACTACAGTACAGGCAAACTAGATAGGCCTAGAATAATGTAACCCAAACACTAACCTGTATGATACAGGCGGTTCCGGTTCCGCTTCACTACACTAACCGCCTGTACGCGAGCTCAACCCTGGCGGTTCGCAAGCCTCGTTATCGATCGACCGGTTGTTATGGCTTGAATAACTTGAGAAATGACGTCAGGCAAAAGCCTGCTCGCTGATTGGCTGATTGGCCCGTTACAGCTCTCTGATTGGACGCAATGATTTCTTGGTTTGCGAAGTTGGCTGAATGAGCAAGGGGTACAGGCGGTTAGTGTAGTGAAGCAGAACCGGAACCGCCTGTATCATACAGGTTACCCAAACACAGGATAGTGTAACCCACCCCCTATCCTGTGTTTGGGTTACATTATTGTATGGAAGTGTCTAAATAACCGGATCCGGTTTCGGAGCCCTGAAAACTAAACAACCGACTCTCTCTCTCTGATTGGCTAATTTTGTCACTTATTTATTTATTTTTTTATTATTTTTGGCTAATTTTATTTTATTTTAGAATTAGGGTTAGGGTTAGGGTTAGGGTTAGGGTTTGGGTTAGGGTTAGGGTTAGGGTCTATATCCGAAAATTTCAAGTTGGTCTGGGGCGCGTTTCACTAACGTCCGCTAAAGTTCTCCGCGAAGTTGTCCGTTCGCTCGTTAGCGAACGGAGGCATAACAGAGAACTTAGCGAACGGACAACTCCTGTTTCACAAATGCTCCGCTATGCCTCCGCTAAATAGCGGAGGAAAGCAGTCAGTCAGCTGGCAGATAACTACAAATATGTGTTGCAGTTGCTAGGTTACGTTCTATCATATACCAGGTACATAAGCAACAGCGCTGTGACAGAGATACCTCTAGAACTAATGCTATTGGCAGAGAGTCAGTGTGTGTGTGTGTGTGTGTGTGTGTGTGTGTGCTGTGTGTGTGTATGCTATGTATGAGGATGTGCGTTGTGTGTATGTGTGATGTGCTAGTGTGTGTAATGTATGGTTGTGCGTATGTCACGCACATGTAGTTCACACGCATGCACGCCACACACGCATGCACACATGCACGCACGTTATGTGCACACGCACGCACGCACGCACTCGACGCACACACGCACGTCTACGCGCAGCACGCACGCGACGCAAGACGCTAACGCAACTCCTTGCCTAGCGCTGCGGCGCGGCGCCGCACGCACGGCACCACGCAAAGCACGCACCACCACATACACATACACACGCAACGGCACAGCCACCACGCATAGCACGCCACACACATTACAGCACGCACGCACACACAGCACACTCACACACACAACACGCACACTCATACACACTCACCGCACACACGCACACACGCGCAAGCACGCAAAGCACGCGCGCACGCACGCACGCACGCAGAGATACATACACAAAACTCTAATCCTCTTTCCCTATTATCTACTCCTGGATGCATAAAAACTAGTATACACCGTCATACCCAGTGCTCTCCTGTTATGGAAACAAAAGCTACTCAGGATAAATGGCCTGATAGTAATCAGTCCACACTATAATTTTAATTAGAATAAGCTCTCGTATCTTCATAGGTGATTATAGTGCGAATTTTGGTGTATTATTGGGTCATTATATACACCATTGGAAGTGCTCCGCTAAAATTTAGCCGGGACTTGGCAGGAGCTCACCGCTAAAGGTTGTCCGCACTGAAAATGAAGCGTAAAAAGCGAGCGACTTTAGCAACACAGGTTCGCTGAAACGCTCCTCTTGCTATTTAGCGCGACCAAAACTTGCAGTCGGGGAGGTTAGCGGAAGAAAGGATAGCGGAAGGAATAACATTATAGGCGAACGGAACGGCGAAGCATTTGTGAAGATGGGGTCCGGGCCGGCCACCGGCTGGAGAATGAGACCTTCACCAGGTTGTAGAGCTTTCCGCTTCAGTGATAGTACGGGGTGGTTACCGTGTTCGAACCCATTAAGGTGTTTTTAATTTCCTACTGCCTTTCTGTATTTCTTTTGTATTTTATTGGGTTTAGATTCCTGCATTTATTTGTTCCTGTAACAGTTTGTTTACTCGTTCGAAGATTAAAGTCATTATTTCTTCTTATGTTTAGCCATTAAAAATTGGGCCGATTGTATATTTGTTCCTGTAATAAGTTTAGATGTATGGTCGGAAACTGACCAATCAGAGAAGAAAGCCGGCGTATGTATTATGTATTTAGCTTTCAGAACTCGCGAAACCGCGGTCGGTCGTATTACAGCACTGCTGGCCTAAGTCACTAACCCGACCAGGCTGTGGCAGTTAGGGGAAACATATCAGCTCCTTAAAACTTAACCGTGGTGACCACCTACGGTCAATGACTAGCGGGTATTCGTAACCCTGAGCAATACCGTTTCTTGGGAGCGAGCCTAAGTAACTAGCTCTAGTTACTATAGCCTGCCTTACTCATTAACTCCTGCCTGGCCGCCATAGCGGGCAGTTAATGTCGAGCAGCTAGAGTCTAGAGCTAGACCTTATGACGTGAGCGCACAGAATCAGTGGCGTCTGTGTTGTAACCAGGTACTACAGATATGGACCCGAGGTAGTTTTAGGTTGTAGTATTATTAATCTCTTAATATGTTTGTAATAGCCGAGGTATGTTTAAGGTAGGTCGTTATGGTGTAGAGTTGGGGTTTAGGGTTCTAGGCGTTTCAGAGGGTTATGTAGGGGTAGGTACACTTCTGCTAGTACAAGTCTCGGCTACACTTGTGAGGCCATTCAACTACTAGTATGTACCTACGGCAGTTACAAATAGTCTGTACTAGTACGCATCGTTACGACAACGACCCCTTGAGCAATACTAGCCCGACCAGGCTGTGCGACGGATTGTCTATACAGTATCCTATACGGTCCTATATCCTATATATAGTCTATACGGTATCCTAACCCTAGCGATACCGTTTCTTGGAGCTAGCCTAATACTAATAGTAATACTAATAGTAATACTAATACTAATAGTATATTATTGTATCTATAGCCAACGTGCACACATCTGGCTGAATTAGGGCCTACTCAACGTAACGGGAAAATTGCATACGATTGAACTTTGTTCATAATACTGACAGAAGCGTAGTCACCTTTCTTCAACTAAATCCATGTCTGATTCGGATTCTATGGCGTGAGGATCACGTGCTGAGGGACGATAAACAAAATAAACAAGATCGCTGAAAGTGGCAACCGGCAGTTAGAC